GGGGAGGGGAGGGGAGGCCCCAGCCTACCTACCTATCGTGCGGGGCCGGGTGCCAGCCTGCCCCGAGCACACCGAGCGCTCCAGCACGGCTGTAACCTCAGGTGCTTGAAGTTGGGCTCGTCTTGGTGACCGGGGGAATTAGGGGCCTCTCGGCGAAAAATGGAGACTGGGGGTTCACGGGTGTATTTATTCCGAAGGTGGGCTGTCCGGGTTGTATACAGTAATAGGCTTGGGGCTTGCACAGGAAGAAAAAAACAGTACTTGTTCAAAGACTCGGCTGTGATGCTATGTTTTCGAGGCACAGCGACATTGAATTGTTAGTTTGTAGCCCTTGTCCAGGCAGCTCTGCTCCGAAAGCATTAAGCTGAAGCGTGAAACGCAGTTGAAGTATTACAGAGCAGATACCAACTTAAAAAAAGACTTCCCATTTTAGATGAGTTTCCAAGTTTTAACATAAGTATGTGAGTTGAGGCAGAAATTACTTTTACGCTGCTATTTTGCTTGTGTCTTCATTTGTGTATTTCTGAGTGATACCCCTGAAAGTGCTGAAAAAGATCACCTTTCCAGAGCGCAGCCCACAGCCTCTGTGGCCGCCTCACAGTGAGAGATTCGGCTGAGAATGGCCAGCAGAGGTTGAGCTCTTTGGATGCTGTAAGGCAGTCGTTCTCGAAGGGACGCTATTACAACTTCTTTTTGTTAGGCAGAAGAGTATTCAGCCCTTGTTAGAGATGCTTTTTTTATCTTTACTCTTCATGATGTCTAATCTGTGCAGCCAGTGGAGAATCTGCCTAAGCCTGGAACTGAATTTTGGATTTGCAGTGACATTGGTTGACAGTGAAACTCCCTGCTGGCTGCGTGAAGAGGACTGTGCCCATTGGCTTAGGGAGAAACCTGCTCCCTTCCTTCTTGCCCTACTTCCTTGCTGCTTCCTCTGGATCTCTGCCTCCTCTCCTGCTGGCATTCTTACTCATGCTACTTTGCAGGAGGCTCGACTTCCTGCAGAGTTCACAGAGAACTTCAGTGTGGCTGAAAGTAAAGCATACCTGCGTCTGCTAACTACATACCAAACCTCCTAAGTAAATGTAATGGCAGGTGATTTGATGATGCATATACGCTTTCTGCTCTGTTTATGCATCGGTGATGATGTATACTGCAGACTAGTCACAGTGGGCTTAATGCGTCCATCTGGTGACATCAGTCTTAACTTAGTGGAAGATGTTGTATTTTATCTTCTCAAATACAGTGAACATAAAAACAAAAGAGTTCTGACAGAGATTGCAGAATGTATTTTTCAAAAGTGAGTTTGTTGGGGCAAAAATTATCGTCATAAAGTTGGTTTTGTTCATTAGAGCTATGAGTGGGTAGTTACAATTACCAAAATGTATGTTTTATTTAAATTCATCCATATATGGAATTTCATGGGCTTGTATTGCTTGTTTTGGGTAATTTGGCAATTAAAACATTTCTCTACGTGTTTACCTTGCATTGATATGTTTTTCAATATTTACTTAACTGCTAAACAATTATCATTGATATAAGAAAAACTTGGTGTGAGAACAATCCTGTTTAAACTTTTCCAGGATGTTTAAACAGTAACTTTAAGAATTTGAATTTTTTTTTATGTTTAAGCCTTATTTGTATCAATGCCTGTACAGTCCTTCAAAAAAGCAGTTGGACTATGCTTGCTTTTGTTGCTATATTAAGTGATTGCATTTTTTTGTCCTGTATTTTGCATACTAATTGGTACTTAGGTATTGATTACACTTTTCCTTTTCCATTGGACTGAAACATGGAAAAAGTAAAGAACACCTATGCCAGCTGGTGCCTCTGCTCAGTATAACCTAAACTGTTCTAGATTCTCCTGAAGTGAAATCTGATAGCCTTCAACAGCGGCTTAGTTCAATTGTTACCTTGCTACTGGGTGCTTTCTGTCCTGGTATGTAACACCCACAAGCCTGAAGATGAGTAATGTAAAATTAGTATCATCTGCTCCATTAGTTTAATGGAGGTATGTGGAAAGGATCAACAAGAGCTACTGGATACACCTGGCTAAACAGCTTTATGGCAAATTGTTCTTCGGGAAGAATAGCACTATTCTGTTCTCTGCTTTCCGTGACTATCTGTTGGTCGCTGGGAAGCCAGTATTCTTTATGGGCCGTGAAAAACTGAAGACGACAGATGTATGCAGAGGTGAAGAAGATGGTGGTTGTGCTGGAAGATGTGCTGTAGCAAAGTTGACTTGTTACGGTTTGGGGTGCTTGCTCTGAGCTCTCCAGGGGCTGAAGTGCCTGAATGTACAGCGTATCTGTTTTTAGGATCCCTGTTGTACATTCAGAAGTGCTGCAGCTGCATAATGAGGCATATGTATATGATGCAACCAGTTAGCAAACAGGCTTTCAGAATGTATGGATGATAACTTTGTACCCAGACATCAGCATGGATCTAGTACTATCTGTACCTCCTGCAGTTAGTCATAGCATCTCTGCAAGTTTTACGCTATGTGCTGTAGTTTAAAAGAACAAAAATGCACTTGTGCTTTTGATTGGAACAAACTTGACTGCTCACCGGTCCTGCAGCAAGCAAAACAGGTGTGTTAATGATTATGAAACCCTGGCCCAGAGTAAGTGCTATCAATTCCTTTTGGATGAGTGGTCATAACTAATAAACACCACAATTATTAAACATTTGTTCTTTAGCTTTTTTTCATGGACTGAATAGTCCAAGAAGCATGTTTTTCTTTTGTTTCGGAACTGCTTAACTCTTGTCACAATACCCCCTTTACCCCTTTCCTCCAAATACGTCCACGTGAATTTCAGTCGGGAGAGAAGTACTCTGAACGATTTGTTTCCAAGCTGGTGTGTGGTTTGCAGGTGGCCTGCAGCTCTAGTAAAAAGTGAAACTTACACTGGCTTCATATTTTGAATTGGAATATTGATAATAACACATGTGTTTATTGCTGGGAAACATGGAAATTGCATAATGATAGCCATGAATGAAACACGAGACATTTATTGTAAGAAACTTTGGGAACCTTGGAGTCGAAAAACACACAATGTGCCTTTCGTTTTTCTTTTGGGTATTTGCCATGTAGCTTGAACTGGAAATCTGCTTTGAAATTTCTGCTGCCTAATTATAACGGTGGCCACATTGCAAAGTTCTGATCTGATATAAACTTGCTGTGTAACTCAGATTTTTCTGTGAGGGTGGGATGTGACCATGGGTTCATTTTATAACAGCAGATTTTTTCTCTGCATCAGATACCACCTGTGTCTATATCACACTCGTTCGTAGGCTGGATCAAGTATTTCCCGGGTCCAGCATTCCTTCCTTTCTGCAGCTCAAGCTTCCGGAGGGGGTGCTCTGGCTAATTTGAGAAATTGTGACTGTCTGTGCCTGATCTGATGTGAAACTAATACTGCTAAGAGATCTTGTAGCACAGAGCATTGGTGTTTGCAGTCCTCAGCCTGAAAAGTTGTAGAATGGTGCTGGCCAGAGGGCTTGTAGATTTTTTTATGTATATATACATATGTGCACACATATATAAAAAATTCTATGTACATATACACACACACACACAGAGAACTCTGTGTATATTGCTTCTTGATAGCAACCCAACCAGCTCACTCTGACTTATTTTATTAAGGCTGCAGAGGAGATCTGTCCTTTCTAACATACGCCTGCTATGTCTGTGGACCCCATTTAATAAGAAAGCATTGATAAAATCAAATAAAATGGAGTCTCTGGGGCCTGTTTAGAGGCAAAGACTAAGATCTTAATTCTGTCACATAATACATGTTTCCAAGAGCCTGAGAAGTATAACAAGCTATTGAAGTTTGGGTTTGCCTATTCTGAGTACCTGAAGTTTCCTCTGAGTGGATGCGAGTAGCTTGAATATTTCACAGAGAGAGAAATAAAAGCCCAGATCAGTGTCTCTGACCTTATGGGGAGAAGGGCTTCTGCTACTGCCTTGAATTGCTTCTTTCTTATTCTCCTAGGTATTGAACAGCGGAAGAGTGTTTTTACTTTCCCACTATAAAACTACTTGCCTTCTTAGCTACCATTAGATTTTCATTAAGAAATCTCAGCTGAAGAGCACAGAACTATTGTAGGAAATAAAGAAATGTTTGCGATTCGGAAAATTCAGATTTGGGAAATGAGTGTATTCATTGCAAATAATTATTCTTTCAGGTATATCAAACTGCAAAATGGCTTATGTGCACTTTTGATTTCGGATTTGAATTACTTGGATGCTGCCCCAGCTGCTTTGTCTTCGGAGGAGGAGGAGGAGGAAGACGATGACGATGATGATGATGAATCTGAAGAGGAAAGTGATGAAGATGACGACTCTGGAGCTGAGATTGAAGATGGTAGAGAAGGTTTTGACGATGAGGACTGTGATGAGGAGGATGAGGGTGAGGACAATGGTGGAGATAATGACGACTTCAATGATCCTGATGACAGTGAATTAGAAGAGCTAGCTGAAAAGGAAGAGACAAGAAAGAGAGGCTGTACAGAAAAGCAGGTATGTACTTAAAGCTGTAGGGTGGAAAAATACATAGTGAGCTTTCTTGTGGTCTGAAACCTTGTGGTGAGGCATTCAGACTGAACCTTCTTTTTATTGTGCCTGTCCTGATTGATTTATCTTCTGTCATTTTCCTGAGGTGTTTCTTGAAGCAGCTTTTACTGAGAGTGTTGTATTTTCTCTAGTCTGCAGCAGCCCTCTGTGTTGCTGTTGGCAGCTTTTCTGATCCCGAAGATCTGCCTGGATTAGCACACTTCCTGGAACATAGTATGTATCTGCTCCTATTTCATCTTCTCCAACTTCAGTGCAAAATGACTGCTACCTAGCTCTGAATTTGTGTAGTATTTTAGTTATAATTTCTTATTTTAGCTACCCCAGAATTTATTTTCATTAGTTAAATAAATTTGTGTTTTTATAAAAATACTGATTTAGTAAGGAACTCTTAATACGGGAGAAGGTGTCTCACTCTTTGGCAAGCTATGCATTAAGATATGCTTTTCTGTTATCCATTAAATGTGGGGGGAAGCATGTTACTTATGTTTTTATAAACTAGGCTGGAGCTACAGACCTTTATCTCTCTAGTAAAGGATGATGAATTAGTAATACAGGCACAGAAAGCACATGAAGTTTCTGACCAGATGTATGTTAAAATGCTACTCTTGACCGATTGAGGCCAATCATGCCTAGAAAGGCACTGTTATTTCCAGTCTATTTGGCCTTCTGCTAAAGGCAGATTACACTAATTATTGGGCAGATTACACGGTCTGTTGCTACTTAGTAGTTAGCCTCTGCATGTGAGCTGTGGGTCAGTTGTAGGTAACACTGTGCTGAAGAGGAGTTTCTGTAGGTTCAGTTAATATCATCAAATTCATGTCATCTTGGTAATTTTGCTGATTTTTGTTCCAGTGGTTTTTATGGGCAGTTTGAAGTACCCAGATGAGAATGGGTTTGATGCGTTTCTGAAGAAACATGGGGGCAGTGACAATGCTTCGACTGACTGTGAGCGGACAGTCTTCCAGTTTGATGTGCAGAGGAAGTACTTCAAAGAAGCGCTTGATAGGTAACTTCATATAAATGGTGATTAGGTGTTAACAAATGTTTGTATGTGCCTCAGGAGCTTGGGTGTAGCTGTTCAGTTCTTCATTTTGGGGTGATTAAGGTTGTTGCTGAACTTCCATAGGTACTTGTACTACCACAGAGAATATTGAACATAAGGAAAATATTTCCCTTGGGATATCTTACTGTTTTTTGAGATAGTGCCTGTGTAGCTGCTGTGTGATTACTTAGGATCCATGTGTAAGTCTTAATGCACATAGCTTTTTGATGGTTTTACCACCCTTAAACTAGTAGCATTGATGACAGGAGAAATTTTATGCAGTGTGACAACTGTTCAGAGGGGAAGTGCTCCCAGAGTCCCAGTGACTCATCCCTTGAAATATCTGTCCTGACAGAGTTAGTGGGGTTAACTTAAATTTTTTTTTGGTTCTGAGTCTAATCCATCGAAGTGAGTGGAAGGGCAGCCTTGAAAGTTATGGTATGATGTGTGCCTCAGAAGGATACATTTAACCCAATCCAGGTTATTTGGTCAAGTATGTATCTTTTGTCAGAAAGTATTTAGTTGGTTCTTTTGTGCCACGGGATATGTTAGGACAACAGAGCTCCACCTGTTGCTTGGTTTCCCTCAGTGAGAGGAAATTACTTGTTCATAGGGGCATGGCAGCTGAGTATTCTTGATGCTGTAGAATATTTCAGGAGAGTAGACTCCACTGTGATCTTATTTTGATCAAAATACATTCCTGTGATGACGCCAAGAACAAGTGTTTGCACATTTTACCGAATATTAGCTAAATTTTACTTTACTGGGCCAAATTCAGCTTTCATTTGCAGATTAGTCCAGCTTTTAGATGTTTGAAAGTGCAAAAGATTCAAAAAATATCATTGCAATCTGTCACAACAGCTTACTTAGTGGAGGGGAAACACAGAAATTAGGAGTTCTGTAGAACAGCTTCTCATACAAACAAGATAAATGGATGCCGATGATGATTTCTGCTCATTCAAGCACTTGTGGATCTAAAGAAATTGAAAGACATCACCATTCAATGATCTTTAGCTTAATGTGTCCTGTAGCCATAGAACTCTGTCAACAATGTATTGCTGTTAACCTTTTGCTTCGACAAGTTCAGTGCATCATTAAAAAAACTCAACAAATAAAATAGAAATATTAGATTCTCTGGCAGCCTTTTGCAGAGTCTCCGTTCACTACAGACCTGTCCCTTTCCATTACTCTGCTCTCTATGGGTACAGGAGAAGAGATGTATCTGGATGACAACACTGACTTTTATAGCAGATAAAAAAATTGTAATGGATCTAAAAACTTATGTTTCAGGACATAAATCAATTTGTTGCCTGGAGTTAGGAAGAAACTTTCCCTATGGTCTTGTTATTCGTAATGAACAACGGAAGATTTCCTCTGAAGCATCTGATCCTGGTCCCTGTTAGAGCCAGGAACCAAACTAGATGGATCACTTGTCTGATCTGGTATGATCATTCTTAGGATGTAAAGGCAGATAATCCTGCACCCATTAGTGTCATAACCTACTGTGTCAAACCAATTCTTTCCCACTCTATGGAGCAGGGAAAACCTGCCCTTTGGTTTTTGATGGTATCACAAAACTGGCTTTTATCTTTCCTTAAGACAGTATAGTCAAGAATTACATAATTTGTAGTAAGACAAGCAACTTCATAAACTAAAATAGTAGATGTTGGGTTTAATTGCTGTTTTTTTGCCCTAGCTTAATAGACACTGAAGAAAAGTATATGAATTTTTCTGTTTCGTAGGTGGGCACAATTCTTTATTCACCCGCTAATGATCAGGGATGCCATAGACCGCGAAGTTGAGGCTGTAGACAGTGGTAAGAGTATCTTTTCCTGTGTGTTTAGCCCGTGTTCTTAAAGAAACAAAATCTATTTTGTAACACTGTTTATTGGTTTCCGTTTTGGACCACCCTTCTGAGCACTTCAGTCAAGTTCACCTAACTTGACAGAGATATCAAACCCTTCAATTTAAGTTTCATGGATATCAATGGCTGTTAGAGGAGAAAGACTGAATGTAGTGCGATCACTGCGAGAGTTTGCCATCTCATTTCTTGAATTAGAAATTTAATAATTTTAGGTGCTTTGGCAGTAACTGGTAGGGCAATTACATGAGCATGTGGATGCTCTTCAGTGAACAACATGCCTATAGCTCCAGCATAGCCCCAGTGCTCTCTCCAGTCCTATATGGAGTTAATAGAGTAAGTTGAGGTGATTGTACTTGTCTCCTTATTCTAACGCCTTAATAATTACAAAGTCACTTCACAGAAGGAAATTGAACCTGGCGTAGAAGTGAGTGGAGAGTTCACTTGATTTTCTAATATGTAATGAATACCTCCAGACTGCCTATAAAACTTCACTGTTTCAGAAAAAAACCTGTTATTGGCAGATATACCAACTGGTTCAAATATTTATTCCAAGTCGTTTTCATCTGTCTTCTGGCAAGGAAAAATGGGCAATTTGATCTTTGAATTTAGATAAGTGTCAATATAAACAAGGACCTGTCTTTGAGTTAAGGTGTGGTTCTTAAACAGCTTAAGCCAATTTATGCCTTCATTTGCACTGCCTTCATCATGCAGATCCACTCCTTCCCTTGTATTAACACTGTAGTAATGCGCCGCCCAGTAAATTATGTCAGCTTGATGAACTGGCTGCAGAATAACCCAGCCAAAAGAATTAGTTTACAGCTCTGCTGTGCATGTTTCTTATTACCAGCAAAAACAGGAACAGGAAAATGCAGTTCAAGAGGGTGAATTCTTGATTTTGGCAGAATCCCATATTTAGATTAGTGTAAACTGATTGTAAAACTGCATTTTTGGAAACTATCTTGCTGAGCTTTCAATTTCTTATTTCGTGATTAGGCTAGAAGTTGTTCTGTGTGATATATGGGAAAAGCAGGTTTGTAACTGTTCTCTGGCCCTTTCTGCAGGGCCTGACTCTGTAGAATATTGATGGCCTTGTGTTCCCATTAAACTTTACAGGTTGAGAGCATTCAGACGGGACAGGCTGGGACTTCACATGCTTCCCCTCCTTATCCCTTTCTTTATTTCTCAGCAATGAGCTACGTTTTTCCTCTTCTCTTGACTTATATTCATTACTGCTAGCAAGTCCTATTTCTTATCCTATTTCACTACTTCATCATACATTAAAACAAAACTCTTCCAGGCTGCATCTGTGTGGCATGTCTCCTTTTCAGTTTGGTTGGGGTTTTTGCTTTGTTTTGTTTTGTTTTGTGGGAACATGACCTCAAATTTTGGTGTATGCCACTGCAAATTCTTTAAATTAACAGAGTATCAGCTAGCGAGACCCTCTGATGCAAACAGAAAGGAGATGCTCTTTGGGAGTCTTGCCAGGCCCGGACATCCTATGAAGAAATTTTTTTGGGGTAAGTTCTTCATTTATGTTATAAAGTGGTGATAATACTTAAACTTTTAACCACTTAAAAGATGCACTGACATGAGCTATCTTATCACAGCAAACACCAGCCTTGCTCAGAAGTATTAGAGCAATTATTAATTTTACAGAAAAATGTTTGGGAATAAAAGCAACTGTCTGCTTCTTAAAATACTTTTCATTCTGGTACTGCTTTTTGCTGATGTTAAAGCTAGGTTACCCTAAGTGTATAATCATGTAACTTTAACGTAAATGTTAATGTAGAGGTGGTGCTCTCTGAGTCATCTCTGTCTTGCTTAAGCTTCCTTTTTGCCATTAAAATTTCCTGGAAAAATAAAGTATTTCTGGATTTGTGTCTAAGGAGGCTTTTCAAAGTAAATAATTCACTGTTGAACTTGCAGAAGTAGACCTTCACAGCCATGTGAGCGGAGCAGAAGGGAAATTTGTCCTTCCTCTCCTGGACAATACAGAGTCCTAGCTCCCTCACCCTTGTGATGCTGGTGAGCATGTAAATGGCAGTGTGATGGGTAATAGAGTTAGCCAGTTTTGAAACGTAGATAATTTTTATAAACTTCTGTAGTGACATATACTGAACATCACATTTTGCCCTCTTTTTCCCTCCCCTGTTCTGCAAGTTCCATTGCTGAGGGGCTAGCTGGCAACACACAATGAGCTGTGCAGTACACAGCATGGGTGATCTGATAATGCAGGAGGACTCTGTCCTCCCTTGTCCTAGAAATATCAACTGTTCTTATAATGGGAACTAGAAATTGGAAGATATTAAATTTCAGTTAACATGCCTTTAACTCCAAATTTCTATTAGGTATTTTTAATGTGCTTACCATGACTAGACTCAGTGCCAGAGGAGGAAAAGAAATTCTCGGTATATCTGGTCTTGACGTAACCAGTGTCTAGATAACTAACCACCTTTTAATGTTTACAGGTAATGCGGATACACTCAAACATGAGCCTAAAATGAATAATATTGATACTTACACCAGACTGAGGGACTTCTGGCAGCGCCATTACTCTGCTCACTATATGACTTTAGTTGTCCAATCTAAAGGTAATGTCAGTTGTTCCTTAAAAACAGGCTCATTGCTGCTGTTGGTGTAGTGCTTTTGGCACCAGTTCAGCTGTAGCCCAAGCCATTTTAGTGGATTGTCCAGTCCAGCAGGAGGTATTTATATGTAGATTTTAGCCTGGCTTCCAAATGAAGCTTGAGCGATTGTGCCGTGTTATTGTCATCCTGCCACTTCTTGAGAAACTTTTAACTGAGACTGTTGAGTAGGTTCTGGGTTAACACAGAATGTAAAATCTCAAGGATATATTTAAAAAAGAACCTTGTAGGTATGTGGAGTCAGACCACTTAAATGACTTAATGCTGCTGGTTTCTCTGCCACCAACAGTGAACCTCCACAGAAAATGATGGGGAGACTGAGACAGGGTCTCCCAGTTGTCTTGTTCTGTTTGGGACTCTTTCAAAAGAGGTCTTAAAATAAAACACGTGTATCTAGGGAGAATAGAGATTCTAAGTTTTTTCCTGGTAGACTGAAAAATTCTGTGCAAATGGAATTGAGTTTCATTTCAGCAAAAAAC